ATTCACAAGAAACCCAAATGCCTATCAATCAACAAGAGTGGGGGCTGGGTGCAGTGGCTCATGCCTATAATCCCAGCACTTTGGGAGGCCGAGGTGGATCATCTGAGATCAGGAGTTCGAGAGCAGCCTGGCCAACATGGCAAAACCCCTTCTCTACTAAAACAGAAAAATTAGCCAAGCGTGCTTGTGGGTGCCTGTAATCCCAGCAACTCAGGAGGGTCAGGCAGGAGAATGGCTTGAACCCAGAAAGCAGAGGTTGCAATGAGCAGGGATCGCACCACTACACTCCAGCCTGGGCGACGGAGCAAGACTCCATTCCAAAAAACAAAACCACCAGAGTGGGAAGCAAGCTGTGGTACATTTACACACTGGAACACTATACAGCGACAAAAAAGAGCGAACCACTGCCACACCCAATAACATGGATAAACTGCCCAGATACTGAGTAAAAGGGGCCGGACTTCAAGAAGAGCCAAAATGAACAGATGTCGCAAGAGTAATTAGCTCCAGACGGTACCAAGCAAAAAGAGATGACTTCTGGGGTGATGGCAATGTTCTACCTTTTGACCCAAGTAGTAGCTGTGCAGTTGCACATGCTGTGCACTGAAGATCTGCATGCTTGGGGCACTTTACTGTCAAATGTAACTTGGCTGAACGTGTTTTAAACGTAAGATGAAAAGTGCAGGGGTCATCAAGGGCCATGGCTCAGACCCCAATCAGAGGCAGAGTCCAGCTGAGGCAGCCCCCTAGATCTCCCATAATGTGATGGCTTAAAAAATAACTTGGCAGGCACAGTGGCTCATGCCTGTAATCCCAGCATTTTGAGAGGCCGAGGTGGGCGGGTCCCTTGAGGCCAGGAGTTCAAGACCCACCTGGGCAACATGGTGAGACCCAGTCTCTACAATAAAGTTTTTAAAACATTAGCTGCTGGTGGCTGACACCTGTAATCTCACTACTTTGGGAGGCCAAGGTGGGTAGATCGTTTGAGCTTAGGAGTTTGAGACTAGCCTGGGCAACATGTCAAAACTCCATCTCTACAAAAAATACAAAAATTTAGCTGGTTGTGGTGGTGTGTGCCTGTAGTTCCAGCTACTCGGGAGACTGAAGTGGGAGGATCGCTTGAGCCCAGGAGGTCAAAGATGCAGCAGCTGAGATCTCACAACTGCACTCCAGCCTGGGCAACAGACTGCCTCAAAAGAGCTCTTTGAGGAAGACGCAGTTGTAGTAGTTTTGGGTCGTGGAGCCGCACGCTCCTGCTCCTGACTCACCGCTGTTCGCTCTCGCTGAGGAACAAGTTGGTCAGGAAGCCGGGCAGCAGCCATGGCTTTTAAGGATACTAGAAAAACACCCGTGGAGCCAGACGTGGGCGTTCACTGAATTCCAATCACTCTAACGAGCTGCAATGTAAAATCCCTGGGGAAGGAATCTGCTGACTTGATCAGAGGAGCAAAGTTTTGAAAAGATTCTCAAAGTGATAGGACCAGTTCGAATGCCTACCGAGACTTTGAGAATCACAAGAAAAACTCCTTGTGGTAAAGGTTCTAAGACATGGGATCGTTTCCAGATAAGAATCCACAAGTGCCAGGCATGGTGACTCACACCTGTAATCCCAGCACTTTGGGAGGCGGAGGCGAGTGGGTCACCTGAGGTCGGGAGTCCGAGACCAACTTGACCAACATGAAGAAACCCCATCTCTACTAAAAATACAAAATTAGCTGGGCGTGGTGGCACATGCCTGTAATCCCAGCTACTCGGGAGGTTGAGGCAGGAAACCTGCTTGAACCTGGGAGGCGGAAGTTGCAGTGAGATCATACCATTGCACTCCAGCCTGGGTGACGGGAGCGAAACTTCATCTCAAAAAAAAAAAAAAAAAAAAAGTGAATCCACAAAGTGACTCATTGACTTGCACAGTCCTCTGAGATTCTTAAGCGGATGACTTCCAACAGTATTGAGCCAGGAGTTGAGGTGGAAGTCGCCATTGCAGATGCTTAAATCAACTATTTTAATAAATTGATAACCAGTTGTTAAAAAAAAAAAGAAAGAAAAATCAGTTGCATATGGTGATGCACGCCTGTAGTTCCAAATACTTGGGAGGCGGAGGCAGGAGGGTCGCTGAGCCCAGGACACAGGGTGCACTGAGCTACGGTTCCACCACTGCACGTCAGCCTGAGCAACAGAACAATACCCTGTCTCAACGAAGATTAAAAACTAATTTTTTAAATTTTAAGAAAATTGGTCAGGTGCAGTGGCTCACAACTGTGATCCCAGCACTTTGGGAGGCAGAGGCAGGTAGATCACCTGAGGTCAGGAGTTCAAGACCAGCCTGGCCAACATGGTGAAACCCCATCTCTACTAAAAATACAAAATTAGGCTGGGTGAGGTGGCTCATTCCTGTCATCCCAGCACTTTAGGAGGCTCAGGCAGGTGGGTCACGAGGTCAGGAGACTGAGGCCATCCTGGCTGACATGGTGAAACCCAGTCTCTATGAAAAATACAAAAAATTAGCCAGGCGTGGTGGCAGGTGCCTGTAATCCCAGCTACTCAGGAGGCTGAAGCAGGAGAATCACTTGAACCGGGGAGGCGGAGGTTGCAGTGATATTGTACCATTGCACTCCAGCCTGGGCAAAAAGAGCGAAACTCTGTCTCAAAATTCATTTAAAACAATAAAAGACACCTGTGAATTCTTTGAGAGTCTTTCCCTCAAAAGGTGGAGCCTAATTTCCCTCCCCTGGAGTGTGGCCAGAGTCCCTGACTCGATTCTAAGCCCTAGAAAAACGCAGGGGAGACAGTGCAGGATTCGAAGACGAGGTCACAAAGAAGGCACTGTGGCTGCAGGGGGACTCCTCACTCTCCCTCCCATGGAGCACGTGCTCTGGGGGACAGGCATAGGACATCTATGCCGTAAGACACTCAAGCAGCTCCGTGGAGAGGCCCCAAGGTGACGAACCCAGGCCTCTCACCAAATGCCATTTCATGGGAGGGAGCTGTCTGGGACACCCATCCTTCCGCCCTAACCAAGCCCCAGCCAGGCTCAGGGGAGGGACACCCTGAGCTAGAACCACCCAGCTAAGCTTCCCTCCATTTTCCTGACCCTCAGGGACTGAGAGGATGCAGGTTTGTTTTAAGCCACTAAGGTTCGGGTGTTTTGTTACACAGCAACAGGTAACTATTGGGAGCTCTCCATGTCCCACCCCCAAAAGCTCCCTCTAACTGTGGCTTCAGTGCCAGGCAGAGCCCCACACCAGCCCCACTCCTGAGTCTGGCCCACTGTCACTCAATAACAGATCTGGAATGCCATTCCCCAGCTGGAGGCCTCTTTAGGCCACCACCTCTGAGATGCCTCTCCTCTGATCTCCCCAGCTCAGGGGGCGCCATCTGCCATGGCGTCTTCACAGCACTGAGGTTACCAGGCCTTGTGGCTGCTAGAACACACTGTCTACAATGCATTCTTTGTAATCTTCCTACTAGATGGCAAGCTCCATGAGGGCAGGGCCCTTGCCTGTCTGAGGTACATCTGAGTCCTGGCCACCTAGAAGGCATTCATTAAGAGTTTGCTGCATGGTTGGAAATCCCAGCTAGAAGCAAAGAGGGAGACCCCAGGGACAGCACAGCAGCCTGGGGACCCCAGCCCCACCAGGTCTGGCTGCTTTCACAGCACCGAGGAGTGGGGTGTGAGGGCTGATCCTAGAAACAGTGGCAGTTCACGAGCAGGGGCCTGGGTGACTGGTCTCCCTAGCTCTCTCCCACCCTCCTGGGTTATTGCTCTCAGAGAGAGTGTTGGGGGAGCAGGGGTCTCTGTGGGGACAGCGGCTCCCTCTCCAGGTGTCTCTGCCAGCCCCCACGCCTCCTGCTGTTCTGGGGCAAGGGCCAAGCACCCGACAAGTTCTCCATTTGCTCACGGACTAAACTCGTTGCTTTCTGGCATCAGTTTCCGATCCCGGCGCAGGCCACACAATTCACGTCAGGAGTAAATCATTCTGATTTCCATCTCCCTTCCCGAGACAGCCAGCTTCTTTTTAGCCCTCACACAGCAGGCTCCTCCATCCCGCCCGCCCAGCCAGAGGCCGCGCCCACTCCACGGTGGGGGCCCAGCCAATGAGCCACTCCCCTGCACTTCTGAAAGGGGATCCAGCTGGGAAGAGACCGGATCCCAGGAGGCAGGCCCTGAAGGGCAGGGGCAGCTGGGTGCCCAGCAGGGCTATCTGCGTCTTGTCTCGGGTTCTCTCCCTTCCTAGGCCCAGGACTCATGCCCCTCCCAGGAGTGGGAGGAGGTAGCGTGATTCTTGAGGGTGTCATTAGTTGTCACAGGAACAAGACTCCACCTCTGCCCTGCCCCTCTAACCTCTGTTCCTGGCATGAGCAAGCTGCTCACAGTGGCCAGAGGCCAGCGAGGAGGGGAAAAGGGCACCAGACCACGTGCCCAGGAAGGCAGAGTGCACGCTTGAGGTGGGGTGAAGGCAGGACAGGCCTGCCCAAGGAGCTCACTCTGTGGGGTTACGCACCCCACCAGGTGGGACGCCAGCCCCGGAGCTGTTCCCTGGGCCTATTCCCGAGCACTTGAGAACCACACTGTGCAAAGTTTGGGGAGTCCAGGCTCATAACCTCCACTTTGACAACAGCTCCCCAAGTGACCTTGGGGAAGTCAGCTGTGGCATTCGGCCTCAGTTTCCTCCTATACAGGGTAGGAGGCAGCTCCTGCACAATCTCGGGGGACTCTGTGACCCATTCCAGCGGGGTAAGGAGGGCCTCCTTCCTCACGCTGCCACCCTGCGTGGACACAGGAACCTGGTCTGGAGTCAACTCCAGACCCACAAGGGGCGGGAACAGGCGGGAGTAGGGGTGGCTGTGAATGGGGGGGAGGGGTCCATTCCAGGGGAGATGGGGCCTCAGCTTCCCCAGGTCTCTGAGTGGAAGGGGCTGCTCGCTCCTTAGGAGCTGCTCAGCCAGGAAGCCCCACGTGGGGCCGCCCTCTCCCTCGAGACCCTCGTGCTTACACTTACATTTCGCCTCCTTCCAGTCGGTGGAGGTGCTCAGGTCCACCTTCGCCGCCATGGCCAGGGGGGCCCAAGTGCGCACCCCGGCTGTCCGCCCCACCGCCGCCGACCCCCACGCCCCAACCCCCGCTGAGGTCTGCGCCTGGCGGCCGAACGCGCCCAGGTACGCCGGGGGACCGCACGCGCTGCTGCGGGTCCGCGGGGCACCCCCCAAGCGCCCGGGCCAGGGGGCGCGGGGCGGCCAGTAGTTGCCTGGCCGCGCGCAGCTGTGCCAGGCGGCCGGACACTCGGCTCTGCAGAGACATGAGCGGGCGGCGCGGGGCAGCTCTCCGCCCACTTGGACTCTATTTACGGTGCTCGGGAGTGTCTCTCCCTTATTTACTCTGGGACTGGGTGGCGACTGCCAGCCAGTGGCGACCTGCTCGGAGCCAGCGGGCGGCGCGGCCAGAAAACCCTGGAGCCCCGCTGAGCACGCTGGAACTTGTAGTCCGGGACGCCGAGTGGGCCCACCCACTTGTATACACACGTGCGCGCCCGCCCGGGCTCCCAGTACCGCGGGTGGAGCCACGCCCGAGCCCCTCCCACTTTCCCGTGGCCCCCGGGCGCCTCCAATTTCCTGGCTGGCTGCGCCTCGCCTCTGAAGCTCCCGGGCCTTCCAAGCAGCGCCGGCCCCCTCTCCCACTCGGCTCTGCAGCGGAGCAGGCACGCGGGGCGCTCCGTACCGAGTTGGGAGAGCGGAGCGCGGCTCCCACGGTGCCGAGCGTTTTACAGCCTCGGAGACCCGGGCTTGTCTCCTCACGGGTCCGCAGGGCACCGCCTCCACACCCCAGCCCGCCCTCCTAGGGATAGGTGCGACGAACGGGTAAATCTGGTTTGGGAACTCTTACCCAGTCTCAGCCTTCTAATAGCTCCAGTGCCAAGGCTCGGCTGGAGCACAATCTGGGACAGCCGGGGAGCTGAGGGTGGAAATAGTGGAATTTGGAGGCGGGACACTTGGGCTTCAAGTGGCATTCAAAAGGTGAGGAATTGGGGTGATGTTTTCTATTTTCTTTTTTTTTAAAGATGGGGTTTCACCATGATGGCCAGGCTGGTCATGAACTCCTGACCTAAGGTGATCCACCCACCTCGGCCTCCCAAAGTGCTGGGATTACAGGCGTGAGCCACCGCGCCCGGCGTTTTTCTTTTAAAGGCGGGTTTTAAAGCCTGACCATGTTGGTCAGGCTGGTCATGAACTCCCGACCTCAGGTAATCCGCCTGCCTCGGTCTCCTAAAGTAATGGGATTACAGGTGTGAGCCACTGCACCCGGCCTATGTTTTCTTCGTATTTTTTCTTTTTTACAAAAAACCATGAGGATGGATTTTTTAAGTACTTTTATATATTTTCCTGTACTATTAATCTTACTTTATGATAAATATAATAATATAGACCGTGCCATTATAATATAATGAATATAATAATGAATATTGAATAGGTGCCTCACACCTGTAATCCCAGTACTTTGGGAGGCTGAGGCCAAGAGGATTATCAGAGGCCAGGAGTTCAAAACCAGCCTGGGCAACATAGTGAGACACCCTCCCCCCATCTCTACCCCGAGGAAAAAAAATGACTTTGGTGTGATTGATAGTAGGTGCTCACCTCTAGTCCCAGCTACTCCAGAGGCTAAGGTGGGCAAGCACTTGAGCCCAAGGGTTCAAGGCTGCAGACAGCTGTGATGGCACCACTGCACTACAGCCCGGACAAGAGTGAGACCCTATCTCAAAAGTATTAATAATAATGAGTATATTTTCATACCGAAGGGAACAAGCCAGGGTTTCAGAGAAGGTTCCAATACTACTGTTACTGCCCTGGGGTACCCTAGCCCCTGAGAGTCGAGCTCCTTGAGCTGTCAGGAATAAGAGAGTGGCTGGTTGCAAAGTTGCTCCTGTGTTCCAGGCCTCTGGCTCTGAGTGTGGCAATAACCCTGGCCGGCTGTGGGCGGATCCCTGACATGCTGCGGATGCAGATGGGACGACTGGGATGGTGACATGGGCTCAGCCTTGCGCGTCAGATGTTAAATCCACCCAAGACAAGATCAGCAGAGACTTGCCAACAGTAGGGTAGGCAGTAATCAGTCTTGGGAGTGAGGGCAAAAGGGAGGCCAGAGGCCAGGAGGGAAGAGCCCATGGCCCCCAACATTCCAGGACCGTCAGCAAGGCCTGCACACTCTTCTGAAAACATCAGCAGGACATGGTTCAGGACACAGGAGTCAGGCCCTGGGTCACCTCACCAGTTGTAGCCCCTCCAGCCACCAGAATAAAAGAAGGACCTTGCCAACTGCAACCAGCACAGCCATCTACAGGCACAAAGCTCCAGCTGTACTGAGCTAAGCCCTCTGTGTCCATTTCCGCTACCTCCATTAGCCTGTTACCTCCTCAGCTCTCACCACAGCCAGGCAGTGAGATGACTGGTTCGAGGTCAGCACAGCGTCAGGATCGGAGCCCGACTTGGGTCCGGGTCTGTCTGGTTCCCATCTGTGGTCTGGAAAGTGGTTATGCAGATGTCACTGATAGGTGAAATGAAGCATGTGGGTGATGCTGTATATTACTTCTCCATTGCTGCTGTGCCATTCCTTCAAATTCACTGGCTTCACTGACACACATTTAGTATCTTAAAGTTCTGTAGGACAGAAATCTGATGTAGGTATCACTGGGCTAAAATAAAGGGGTCACCAGGGCCGTGTTCCTTTGTGGAAGCCCTAGCAGAGTCTGTTTCATTGCCCTTTCTGATTTCCACAGACCACCCACATTCTTTGGCTCGAGACCTCTTCCTCCATGTTCAAAGCCACCGCGGTTGCCTCTGAGCATTCTTCTGCAGGGGCATTTCCCGCTGATGCTCTTCATCTGGCTCTCTCCCATCTTCAGGGACCCTTGTGATGACATGGACCCACCTAGATAATCTGTGATAATTTCTCTGCTTGGCGGATTTGCTGCCTTCATTTCCGCTTTGCCAGGTAATGTAACATATTACAGGTTGTAGGATGGTAGGATGTGGAATCTTTGGAGGGCCGTTATTCTGCACTGTGCAACCTTCCTGGCAATGAGTAGGGAGGATTATGAGGCAGAGGCTGAGGCCCCAGCCATAAGAAAGTCTTGGCCGGGCCAGGTGTATGCCTCTAGCCTGTAATCCCAGCATTTTGGGAGGCCGAGGCAGGAGGATCATGAGGTGAGTTTGAGACCAGCCTGGCCAACCTGGTGAAACCTCATATCTACTAGATACAAAAATTAGCTCAATGTGGTAGCACACACCTGGAATCCCAGCTACTCGGCAGGCTGAGGCAGGAGAATCACTTGGACCTGGGAGGCAGAGGTTGCAGTAAGCCAAGATCATGCCACTGCACTCCAGCCTGGGCGACAGAGCAAGACTCCATCTCAAAAAACAGACAAAAAACAAAGTCTTAGTGCTCAGGCTGGGCACAGTGGGTCATGCCTATAATCCCAGCACTTTAGGAGGCCAAGGCGGGTAGATCAATCACCTGAGGTCAGGAGTTTGAGACCAGCCTGGCCAACATGGTGAAACCCTATCTCTAATAAAAATTTAACAACAATAAAATCAGCCAGGTTTGGTGGCCTGTGCCTGTAATCCCAGCTATGCAGGAGGCTGAGGCAGAGCCTGCAGAGCAGAGACTACAGTGAGCCGAGATCACACCACTGCACTCCAGCCTGGGTGACAGAGTGAGACTCCATCTCAAAAAAGGAAGTCTTGGCCGGGCGCGGTGGCTCAAGCCTGTAATCCCAGCACTTTGGGAGGCCGAGGCGGGTGGATCACGAGGTCAACAGATCGAGACCATCCTGGTCAACACAGTGAAACCCCGTCTCTACTAAAAATACAAAAAATTAGCTGGGCATGGTGGCGCGTGCCTGTAATCCCAGCTACTCAGGAGGCTGAGGCAGGAGAATTGCCTGAACCCAGGAGGCGGAGGTTGCGGTGAGCCGAGATCGTGCCATTGCACTCCAGCCTGGGTAACAAGAGTGAAACTCCGTCTCAAAAAAAAAAAAGGAAGTCTTGGTCCTCAACTAGAGGCTGCCTTCCACCCAGCTATCAGGGAGACTGAAGTGGAAGAGGCCACACGTTGGAGGCTGGAGTGGAAGAGGCCACACGTTAGAGTGCACTTTGAGTATACCTATAAATAGCCACGGCACTCCAGTCTGGACAACATAGCAAGATTGCATCTCTAAAAGACAATTGAACAAAAATGATTAACTTAGAATTAATATAGAGTAATTTCATTATCTTGATTGTTATGATGGTTTCATAGATCCTTATGTCAAAACTCTCCACATTGTGGCTGGGCGTGGTGGCTGACGCCTGCAATCCTAGCACTTTGGGAGACCCAGCTGGGAGGATCATTTGCACAATTCAAGACCAGCCTGGGCAACATAGCAAGACATCATCACTACAAAAAAGCAATTTAAGAAGATTTAAAAACTCACCACATTGTACATTTTTAATGAATGCACTTTTTTTACTTGAACTCTGCAGAGAAGCAAATACGTGCAGTGTATTGTGTGCCAATTGTGCCTCAATAAGACTGTCAAAAACCACGAGAAAAAAATGCGTAGCCACCAGACACAGGGGCTCACACCTGTAATCCCACCAATTTGGGAGGCCAAGGGGAGCGGATCACCTGAGGTCAGGAACTAGAGAAGAGCCTGGCCAACATGGTGGAACCCCATCTCTACTAAAAATACAAAAAAAGAAAAAAAATTAAAGGGGCATGGTGGCACACATCTGTAGTCCTGGCAACTAGGGAGCTTGAGGCAGGAGAATCACTCGAACCTGGGAGGTGGAAGTTGCAGTGAGCAGAGATCATGCCATTGAACTCCAGCCTGGGTGGCAGAGCGAGACTCCGTCTCAAAAAAAAATATCAAAGCAAGTGCAGTGGGTCACACCTGTAGTCCCAACTACTTGGGAAGCTGAAACAGGAAGATCACTGGAGTCCAGGAGTTGGAGGTCAGCCGGGGCAACACAGTGAGATCCTGTCTCTAAAAATAAATAAATAAATAACATGTATGTATGTATGTATGTATTTTGAAACAGAGTCTGGCTCTGTTGCCCAGGCTGGAGTGCAGTGGTGCAATCGCGGCTCACTGCAACCTTGCCCCCAGGTTCAAGCAATTCTCCTGCCTCAGCCTCCTGAGTATCTGGGATTACAGGCATGCGCCACCACGCCTGGCTAATTTTTGTATTTTTATTACAGGCAAGGTTTCACCATATTGGTCAGGTTGGCCTCAAACTCCTGACCTCAGCTGATCCACCCACCTCGGCCTCCCAAAGTGCTGGGATTACAGGTGTGAGCCACTGCACCCGGCCAACAAACATGTATTTAAAAAAAAAAAAAAATTTGGCCGGGCGCGGTGGCTCAAGCCTGTAATCCCAGCACTTTGGGAGGCCGAGGCGGGTGGATCACGAGGTCGAGAGAT